GCAAGGACTTGAGTATGATTTTCAGTGCTCACTGCAATACTCAAGTCCTGACTTGAGTATTGAGTAGAATTCTGGAATACGACCCCTAGTGTAGTAAGTAGTGACTATAGATGCGTGCGGGGGTCAAGGACGGCAGAGAGGCGACATATTTTACATTACGTTAGTTTAGTTATCTTAGTTCGCGGCGTGAACCGAAGTATGAAAAGATGCTACGGCTACGAATAATAAACATTAAAAAAAATTAATTAAAAACAAACTATTTACATACAGACACTAAGAGCATGCGTCTTATCCTTTTATCTTTTTCTTTTTAATAACGCACACACTCAACATAGCCCCGCACTAGGGAAACCCTGTGTCGCGGGTGCCATGGAGACACATATAGACAACTATAAACTGCACCCAAACTTACGAGACAAATAGATGTAGGCCACACAAATATTTCTCCCGGCCCAGGAATCGAACCTGGGACATCTGCGTGGCAGTCCGGCATGGTAACCGTTCAGCCACAGAGGCAGTCTTTGAATTCGACATGACTGGATACTTAATAATCAAAATATTAAAAGTGTAACGGGAAATACATTCCAAGAGCGGTGGTAGCCTAGTGAGAGAACGAATTGAAAGGTCAACGGTTTGAATCCCTGTAGCGATAAAAGTCTATGATTTTAATTTATATATTTATGGCCACAAGCTTCATCTTCTTCAAGCCACAATAAAGGCGGCTACCTACGGTCCGTTTTTCAAATGCAAAACGTGCATATTCGGGTGTCTGTCATGTGACACACGGTGGGTCCCAAACGCAGGCGACTATTAGCGAGCATGGGCGCGCTCGGGCAGCCTTCTTCCCACGGCGCGTTAGCGAGAGTTCGTGTGGCGCGGTCCGTGGAAAAACGGCTTAAGAGGGCGTGAGCTTTGAGATTCGGAAGTTCACACACATCATTAAATAAATAAATTCACCGTACAGTCATTTGTTACTAATATAGTATAAGGTTGCTTACTAACAAACTATGGACCTATGGTGTCTGAAAATAAAAGATTTTTTTTAATGTTTTTTTTATTTTATTAAATTGCTTTGCACATGTGTGCAGGTTACCTCAAAATGTCTTCCATTTCATTAACGTTTTTACGAACCCTGTTTTCACACCGTATATTATATTAAATCAGTGCGTATCCTCATTCATCAATTTTGTTATATATTTTTTCCAAAGTGATTCATTCAACACTGTTATACGGACTGCCTCCGTGGCCGAACGGTTACCATGCCGGACTGCCACGCAGAGGTCCCAGGTTCGATTCCCGGGCTGGGAGAAATATTTGTATGGCCTACATTTATTTCTCTCGTGAGTTTGGGTGTAATTTGTGGTTGTCTATGTGTGTGTCCATGGCACCCGCGACACAGGGTTTCCCTAGTGCGGGGCTATGTTGAGTGTGAGCGTTATTATAAAAAAAAAAAAATCAACAAAAGCCATTTGAGTTTATATAGGTAGATTCTTAGTACAAAGATCGAACACAAAGAAATATTTTTTCAATCTGAAAGGACTCGAACCTGTGAGTCTGTATTGGCAAAAAAGCCGTTAAAAGCAAAAATAAAGATTTCTAACAAACGCATAGAATTTCGTAAGGTCTGTCAACTCGATCTGTGGGTAGAGTAGTTGCCCTAGATTGCCAAAACAGATTTTTTTTATATAATATCAAGTGACGGGACGAACAAGTCACAGAACATGCGCGTGATGGTAAGCTATACGTCTGTCCATAACAGTTACAGTGCCACTCAGAGGTTTAAATCGCAAAGATCTGACGGACACTGCCACTGCGCCCGTCACCCTGAGACAAGTTGACAAGTCTCATGTGCCTGCAATTTTACCAGCACTCTTACCCTTTAACCGGAGTGTAATGTTTATATTACTGCTTCGCGGCAGAAATAGGTAAGGTTGCCACATACCTGCTTACTGCCATACTACCCTGGACGAACTCGTTCACAAGGAGTTCTACTGTTACTAAATCCTGACAGATCGAAGAAATTTTTCTTTGTGTTCAATCTTTGTATTTATAATTATAAAAATTACTTCTAATAATATGATCTGCGAGCTGGTGATAAATAGATATGCTGTGTCGATTACGTTACATACCTTGACATCAAACTCTGTTTCAATAGCCTCTTCATCGACTTCTCGATGCAGGAATTTGAGTAAATCGTCATCGAGAAAGCTGTCAGTCTTTCTGTACGCCCTTGGCTTAATAACGGGAAGAACGATGACATCATCGTCCACTTGAGATGGCACAATCGAAGCACGAGAACTCGGGTTGTGGGAATCTGTTCCTATTCCTGCAATCTGTGATTAATAAAAAAAGAATTATTTTGTGTACTCTAAGCTAGTCCGCATAAAAAAAACTGCATTATATAATAATACTTACTTTTTATTGAATATCATGGTGTTAAATTTGTATTGAATTGATATTCAATTTTTTTTTTGTGATTTTACTCCACTAGTTTATCATAATTATTAATACAAAGATCGGCCGGATTCGAACCGACGAGTTCAAGCAAACCGTGACAGACGCTATGCCAACTTAAGCCACGGAACGAACCAGCGGACGCTCACGCATTTTTCTATGTGTTTGTTGTCTTTGTATTTGGTTTTCAACGACAATATGATGATGTTTTTCCTACCATAATGTTCATATATTTTTGTGAAAATATACTCCACTAGTTTGTTGTTATTATTGATACATAAATCGAACAAATTCAAAGAAAAATTCTTTCGATCCGGCTGGGTTCAAACCAGTGCCTAGTTATCACACCGAATTCGGAATTATTCTATATATGTACAAAATAACTTTTCCTCCTCAAACGTAACGTACGTAATTAAAAATTACGTACTCTCGCGATAAGTGGGACAATGTGTAGCACTTAGAGGCCTGCCTCACCGGGACGACATGGCGACGTCACCGCCTACGTAAACAAGTAATCATATTGAAATGTATGGCCGCTAACTTACTTGGCGAGGGACTGGCGACATCGCCAATTTCAAAGCGTAGCCACTACCGACATACATTTCAATATAAATTATTTGGCTACGTAGCCCTCGACATCGTCATGGCGTCCCGGTGGGACAGAGGGCTGTTAGATGCATGTCGCGCCCTTGCTGGCCACATCAACAAAATGACAAATTTTCAGGATAGAAGTTGAAAGATTCTACGATACAGGTATAGTCGATATTTTTTTTGCTTAAATAGTATGGTTTAAAATTTCATATGTTCATAATTAGTTCCAAGTGTTTCGTATCTTATATAAGGCTTTCATGCGATGAAAAACACTTTTGACGTACGATTTTATTTTTTAATATAAATAACGCACGGGATGAACAAGTCATGCGTCTGGTGGTAAGCACCACGCCTGTCCAGAACAGTTGCAGAGCTTTAAATCACAAAGATCTGAGGGCTACTGCCACTGTATCCCGAGACATAAGTTGACAAGTCTCATGTGCCTGTAATTTCATCAGCACCCTTACCCTCCGAAACCGGAACGCAGGAATGCTCACATTACTGCTTGGCTGCTTAAATAGGTGATCACGTGTGGCTTTGTTATGATAAGGGTACGAATTCTTTCTCATTGCGAGGGTTTGGTTTTGGCCGACGAAGCCGGATTAGGATATCGTTTGAAGAGCTTTAGAAAGCTTTTCCTCACCCTCTTTTATTTACCTGTGTTTCAGGGTCCTGTTGAGTCTGCGCGGCGAGGCCTGCCGAGGCGAGGCGGTCGCTGCCGCAGGGACGCCCCTTGCGACGTCGCTTGCCTCGCCGTCGACCTTCGCCACTACCTACAATTTTACTTATACATAATACGTAGTCTTTTTAGTGGTTAAAATATGAGCGCATTTGACCTCCATCGCATCTGATCGAAAGTGATGATGAGGTCGACGATGCACACCTATATAATGCCTATTCACTCTCGTCTTGAAAAGGCCCAAGTTATAGAGTTCAGGAAACATCTAAATGTAGACAGCACAAGGAGAACTATAGTCCCCCGATGATAGAAAAGAAATTGCGAAATGATTTCATGCAATTCCGTCGCATATTCTCCGTGATATTATGTCCTGTACAGTAGGTTATAAAAGCCATCTTGTTAAGATATTTTGTGCTACAATTTTTGCAAAATATCGCACAATTGAGTGTAAGTATCGTTTACCTTGGTTTGCAGAATGTGACTATGGAAAAGAGGGCGGCGTGAGTAGGTGCTTTATATTATTTACTTTTAAGTATATGAAACGGGCAAATAGGCTGTTTGTATTTGTTGAATCAGCTCTCACATAGTTTAGGATACTACGGAACTGAACATAATAAAAAAGACTAGCAAATCAATTAATAAAATTGTCTTCTTCAAAGCAAAGCAAATTGAGTACATCAAATGTAACTTCGAATCGAGAATCTCGAGTTGAATTTTCAAAGTAACAAAACAAAAGTAACTTGTAGTTATCAACAGCCTCGATAATGTAACTTTATGAACGATTTCCGATAGAACGAATTTAAGGGACCAACTTTCTAAATGTGTTCTGGCCTGAGTATTGTAGGTAGTATATTTCCTTACCTAGTACTGTTATAGTACAGGGAAAGAGCCAAACGAGTCGAAAAATTTGAAAAATATAATTTCGAAGGCTCATATTACGTTCTACGTTTAGAAATATATTTTGAAGTTTTATTTAGCGTGAATTATAAAATAAACTTGTATAGCTAAAAGCCACTTAGAGAAAACCGAGATTGAAAATGATTTCACAACAAAGAAAAAAGTTTTTTTTGGTTCCAACGTTTTCGTTTAGTAACTTCAACTTTTGGCAGGTGTCAACGTCAAATGTGGAAAATAAAAAAAAAATATTGGAAAAAAAATATTCGGACAAATATTATTTTTTCAAAATTTTTTCATGATCCAACATAGTGTTACAAGATCACTTTACAGTCGAACAGAGACTGAGGAACCAATGAGTTTCGGGCCACAATAGTTGTGAATGCCATCGATAGGATAATAACAAAAAGTACTAGGAATCCCCTAGTACCGGACTAGGTGGTGCCCGCGACTTCGTCTACGTAGAATAAGTACTTCGAGTAGCCTACTGTACTATACTAATGTTCATAGTTTTATTGGTTCTCCATACTCTCGAAGGTTTATTTGGGGTATTATTGTCAAGTTATCCACCATGCAATAATACTATTTATGAGCAAGTGTGATGAAAAATGATACATCAAAGACGATTACCTCCGTCATCAATACTAGCTACAGCAGCCTCGCTCCCATCATTTGATTCCTTCTCAGTGTTGGACCGCTGGGACAATTGCGCTTCAGTTTGCTTCGTTTTACTCTTAGCCGGCTTTCCCAAGTTAAGAGCTTTTAGCTGGTTCTGTGAATAAATAAACATAAACTGCATGCTGCGATAGTCTCTATTGGTTTAGAAATTGACTAGTTAGCAATACGAGGTAAATAAAACACACACACACGTACGCGCGCGCACGCACACACACATCACAATAACACTGACTAAAACCAATAATATATCACAGATATATGGATGCGTATGTATATTCATACATATAACAATATCTTTTACACACATTTAGATAAAACAAATTATCTCATACTAACATTTTAGTGACATGTGATTATAGGGATTGTATATTTACTTATGTGTGATCTGTAACTGTTATTATCTCTGTTCTGTGGTTATTATATACAGGGTTATTTATAAAATATTAAGAGCTTCCCAGGGCTATATCACTAACATCAAAAACAACAAGTTTTGTTCCACGATAATGTTTTAATCATTTATCATATTTTACTTTCATGCATAATCATTTATATATATAGGAAATTAAACTATTTTTCCGGATTTAAATCGCGTATATTTGTTTTTTCAACTTTTTTGACTGATCAGTCAACCATGACCATGGGACCTGTAAAGGGCCCGAATTGTCATTTGTTTGAAAAAAGAAATGTACGCGATTTAAATCCGGAAAAATAGTTTCATTTCCCATGTGTAACAATCGCGAAAACCTAACAACTCGAAATTTATACATATTTAAATAGATCGCTGTAAAGGGTGATAAAATCTGTGCGGTAGCAAAAGAAAGTACCCGCCACCAAAATTATTTTATAAAGTGTCAGATAGTGGGTACTACAAACAATTAAAAGTTTATTTTTTGGTAAATTTATCATGTTTTGTAAAAAGTCATGGAACAAAAGTTGTTGTTTATGCTTTTAGTAATAGTACTGTATGTATGGTTGTTAATATTTTACAAATAACCCTGTTGCATTTAAAAAGATCTTCTTCACAAAGTTAAATTGCATATTTGGTGTATTTTGAAGATTTACCTTAAAGTATCCAATACATATAAATGAAGAGATCCTTTTTTGAGAAACTTAAAATAGAACTAGCAAGTTTTTAATAAGTACCTCTAGTTTTTTAAAGAATTGGTCACTATTGTAACTCAACGGTTTATCCTTTTTCTTACTCTTTCTAGGCAACTGAACACTTGGCAACTTCATGCGCTTCCTCTGCCCAGTGGTACCCAGCGCTGTCATGGATAAAACCATATTTGACGACGCACCTCTTTTCCTACTTCTTGGAGCGTAATTAATTACAAGTTTCGTCAAATGCATCAAACAACAATCGCATCTGGTTAAGGAGGGTAATTTTGAAGGCCTTCGTTTTAGACGAAAAGGCTTGAATGTTGCCAAATTATCGCCAGTGATAAAAAAACTTTTTTCCTTCTGTATTTCTTTTGTTTGTTTCTCATTAAGTTTCTTCTCTTTTCTTATAGGAAGTAATTTTGTTTTCGATATTAGAAATGGTAACATTTTACCACCGTTACAATTACTTTTTTACTATCTATGCTGTTATTATATACGATTTTATAGTCCTAACAGTAACACGCGAGTCTGGACGTCTAAATCCATCGCAATATGACACTCGAATGACGTCAATCCAACTTCTATTGATTAGCTTATCTCAGGTAAAAAATAAATGTTACGCTCTAGGAAATCTTCGATGATTTTTGGAAAATACCAACGCAATAGGTGTTATTAGAAAACGGTCGTGATTATTTTTGTGCGTTAGGATGACGAAAAAAAACAATAGGGTTTATAACACAAATACCTTTGGACGTAATAGGGGTACACTAAAGTAAAAAAAATCTTCATATACCAGCAAACAACGTTTGTCGTTCCGTGTAGTTTATATAATGTCAAAAGAGAAGCTTGTAAGGCCATAAGATTGAAAAAACGCCATTAGAATATAAGTTAAAAGAAACATATTTGACTGCTGGTGAAATTACAGGTACATGGGAATTGTTAATCACAACAAAATATACACATCATAAAAAGATATACACTTAATCATTGCTTGCCGGTGAATTTCCAACATTCCAACATAATCTCACTTTTAGGGTTTCGCGTTTGCTACATGGGTATTGCATGTTAATTTGATACTATCATTTCGATCTAAGCCGCGTATATTTGTTTTTTCAAATAAACCACGAGTCGGGTCCTTTTGTGATCACGGCTGACGTATTTAAATCCGAAACCCTAGTAGCACTTCACATGGCTATTTTTTTTTTGCGTATTTGATATATTTGGCAAACAATCACCATGTGTAGACAGTATGTGTGACAAAGTATTTGCCTTGTTTGCTTATTCGACAAATACAGCAAACACCAAATTCGCGTTACAGCTTGCTGGTCGGTTTCCTGACGCACATCAAAGGAGCTAAATAAGCGAATACGCAAGTAAAACGTCCACACTATGGGCATATTCATTATTTTAACTCCTTATTTGGCTCCATGTGTAGACGGTCATATTTGTTAGTGTCTGTATGTTTGTTTTTAGGTACGCACGTACGTAAAATGTTTTCCAAGTAACATCAAACACCAGTATGGAATATCTCTACGTGGCCACGGATGGCGCCGGCAAGGTGGCAACATACTATTCAAAGTTAACATAGTCGTAAAATAAAAGTAGTTTCGCCACGGTAAGAAGAAGTTCCATTTCCAATGAAATATTGGTCTCAGTAGTATATGGGAGTGTCTAAACAGCTTTGAAAGCAGACCCAACCGCGAATGAAGTTAGCTAACTTAACTTAGCTCACCATGCAACCAACTATGCCAGCTAACTTAGCTTAGCTTAGCTCACGTAGTTGTATGCAATGATAAGCTAAGAAAATATATAAATACGTATAGTAAGTAGTGACTATGGATATGTGCGGGTATGAAGGGCGGCTGGAGGGCGATATATTTTACATAGCTTGGTGGGATCGTTGCGTTACTTTAGTTAGCTCGGTTAGCTTAGTTCGCGGTGTGAACCGAAGTACGAAAAGATGCCCTGGCTACGTTATTGTAGACTTTAATTTTAACCATAATTAAAATTTAATTTAAAAATTCTCTAAGCTCACTACTAATTTTGTTTTGTTCTGTTCGTTTATAAGGCTTCATTTATCTCACTGTGGATAACTATTATGGCCTAAGTTATTTAGGACAAATATTGTTCGTTGTAAGATGTATTGAAGTTGGCTGTTGTTATTCTGCTCAAGGCGAGGTAGTTCAACGCGAGCCTAGATTTTAGGATGTGGGCTGTGGGAGTCGCTCCTCGTGTCCGCGCGCTTTTAATTAATATGGCGACCAATCCCCTAGGCAATTTGCAAATTTTGGGATAAATGTGAATTTAATAACCATAGGACTTCAGTTGAAAACCAAAATGTACCTAGCAGGGGTAACCTATCACAAAGTTGAAAATATTTTTGTCCGAAATAACGTTTGTTCGAATTTTCATTACACCGAAAACAGAATTATAATGAAACAGTTGTTCTTCTATCTAAAGGATGTGTTGAATGTTTATCGCAAAGACACGATTAGGTTCGGTTAAGTTTAAGTTTAATTGAAAAAAAACATTTTTATCTCAAAATTACTTTCGAGGTTACGAAATTTCGGCCAAACGTTATTTCTGGAAAATATCATTTCGGACTACTAACAGGAAATCTGAAACTGAAAGGTAGCAGGTTCTATGTACTAGGTACTTAAAGAGAAATATCTCCATATAAAAATTGCGTACAAAGTTAGATATTTTATTCTTAAATAATTCGTTTTAGACTTTTATTTTACCCTGTTGTGTAACACATTCTTTAGTCAATATCTTTTGTAAGATCGTTATTTAATAGTAAATACCTACATAAATAATTTGATCTAGCATAAAGTATAAAATAATTCTTAATCTTTATCTAATCTTTACGAAGATAATAATTCTATCTTTATGACAACTGTTAATAAAAAGTTATCTAGTTTTAAATGTTTGAGTACACTAAGTCTACTTTAATCTTTAGTAAAATGTGGATTTAGAACGATAACTCATCCATTTTAAGGTCTATCCACACATATCCGGGCCGAGCTTCGTCAGGGGCTCAAAAAAATATTTGGTTCGTACATTTTGTAGGAACTCGTTCACACATGTTCGTGTCCGGGCCGGCGCCGGGACGGGACCGCAGTTCATACAAACTAGCACGCCCGGTCCACGTCCCGGGCACGGCCCTGATGTGTGTGGATAGCCCTTAATTCTTTTTTTTTTATGCGCCTGCCCTAGTCTATGGCAAACGAAGCTCTTTCTTGGATTTCCGCGTACGAACCCACATTTACCTTGCTTTTATGTGGTTCATGTAAATAATGGTCATTGTTTCCCTACCACGTCTTCCTTCTATGATAAATAATTTAAATTGTTTTTTTATGTTTAAGTTAAATAAATACGATGGTTTAAATGTCAATTGACGTAAGGGACATTTGGATTGATGGATTGGACTGATTTTCAGGACATGCAAAAAACTGAAAAAAAAAATATATACCTTGTAAAATTGTCTACCTTTTTTATTCTTATTTTTTTTTATAATATCAGGTGACGGGACGAACAAGTCGTGTGCCTGATGGCAAGCTTACACGCCTGTCCATAACAGTTGCAGTGCCACTCAAGAGCTTTAAATCGCAAAGATCTGAGGGGCACTGCCACTGCGCCCGTCACCTTGAGACATAAGTTGACAAGTCCTATGTGCCTGTAATTTCACCAGCACCCTTACCCTTCAAAACCGGAACACAGTAATGCTGACATTACTGCTTACTGCGGCAGAAATAGATAAGATGGCAGTACTTCCCTGGACGAACTCTTTCACAAGGAGCTCTACTGCCACTAAATATATATATAATATATACCCATTACTACCCATAGCAGTGTATGGATTTTTGTTCCATAACACTATAGCAGTAGGCAACAATTTAACAAGTTACAAATATTACAAAAACAAAAAGATTTTTGCATGTCCTGAAAAACAGTGCGCGTTTGACCTCCACCTCAATCAAAGATCCTAAGGTC